ACTCTCACAATAGTGCATGAGACTGTACTTAACATAATTTTTAAGGTGTGACCAAAATAGGTGCAGCTATGTTATTAGTCAACATGAGATGATTCACGTCTAGTGTGACAGGCGAGAGGCAATTCTAGGACTTTAATCATTAGTCATTTTTTTTTATTTAAATTTGAACAAGTTATTTTATAGATTTGCTTAGCTTTTTCAAATTTAATCTGTGCATCTTTGGTTGAGTTTACAATTAGGCAGTGGCGATTTTAGCCTCTTTTTAGGGGTGCTCAAGCACCCCTAAATTTTAACTCTGCACCTATGATTTTTTTGTTTTTGATTTTTTGTGCAGTTCTGGGTTTGGGTTCTGTTCATTGCATTTATGATTCAATGCAACAAAATAAACAAATTTAAAAGATAACAGATCATTTTAATACTCGATTTATTTACATAATGACATTAGTTGCTGGATGTCCGGCCCCTGAGCTGCTGGCTTTCAGTAACTGTGGCCCCCTGAGCAGTTTAGTTGAATATCCTGCTTTAGAGGGTGGAATACACTTTATTCCATTTCCAAAACCTAAACTGAGTCTGGACAATTTAAAAATATGGATAAAGCCCTGCGGCTGACCTCATGAGCAGCTGAATACAACAAAGATAAACAGGAAGTACCACATGTTCACCTGTACAAATAAGTGCAGGTAAATCCTCCATTTCCTGTCATAATTATATTACATGCTTACATGCTGTCAACAGAACTGAGCACCCCGCCTACTAAACTGACCGCCACCCCCTCCCACTGACATAGCGCTAAGCTAGCAGCGCACAATACAGGCGCTCTAGCTAAAAAGCTAAAAGGCACCTCTTCCCTCATGCTGAATGCCCCCCTCCCCGCCCTCGCTCAAAAACCGTAGGTACAATCTGTGCTCAGGCATGTCTCTGTCCCCCCCGTCAACAAAAATCATGGATGAGATGAACACCCCACCATGGCAAGTTAACTAGGGGAAACAATGTTTTGTGCCAAGATGCTACGTCTGTAGCATCTTAGCTAGCGCATCTGTTTCGCACGCCACTAGCTTAGCGCTACTTCTTGTTGTGCCGAGCTCTCTAAAATAGTTAAAATACTAAACTGTTAAAATACACCAGAATGTAGGAAATGGCATTTAATTTATTCAAAAATTTTCTGAGGGATTAACCCCAGCATCCCCACCCCCATGTGCCCCCCCCCCCCACATTATTAATGCTTCCGACGCCAATGGCCACCACGTTGTTCAAGCCAAAAGCCACTGTCAGCACTGGGGGCTAAGCACCCCTAAAGGTCAGATTCTAGAATCGCCCCTGCATTTAGGACTCAACAGTTCAAGCTAACTCCATGCATCCAATTTTATCCGCTTCTTCTAGTCAAGACAGGAATAAGCAGTGGTGGAGAAAGTCCTCAAACTCTGTACTTAAGTAAAAGTACAAATAAACTGACCAAAATGTACTCTAGTAAAAATAGAAGTACCACATTAACATTTTTTACTTAAGTAAAAGTAATTAAGTATTTGCTTTAAAAAATACTTAAAGTATTAAAAGTAAAAGTACTTGCTGAATGTATTACCTAATGCAATGGTCTACACTATCATTAAGTGTACCTACCGTATGTATATTTTCTGTAATACATTAATAGTGTTGTGTCATTTTAATGAACAATGCTGCTGATAATACATGTTTTTATTGTGACACAGTTCAAACTTGGACTTGTGATTCTGTGCGTCAGAATTTCAGGGATGACATGCAGAGGTAAATGCCATTAAAGTAAGAAAAAGGAATGATTACAGGTTCTTCTAAAAAAAATTAGCATATTGTGATAAAGGTAATTATTTTCCATAATGTCATGATAAAAATTAAACTTTCATATATTTCAGATTCATTGCACACCAACTGAAATATTTCAGGTCTTTAATTGTTTTAATACTGATGATTATGGCATACAGCTCATGAAAACCCAAAATGCCTGTCCCAAAAAATTAGCATATTTCATCCCACCAATGAAAGACAAGTGATTTTAATACAAAAAACACCAACCTTCAAATAATCATGTTCAGTTATGCACTCAATACTTGGTCGGGAATCCTTTTGCATGAATGTCTGCTTCAATGCAGCGTGGCATGGAGGCAATCAGCCTGTGGCACTGCTGAGGTGTTATGGAGGCCCAGGATGCTTCAATAGCGGCCTTAAGCTCATCCAGAGTGTTGGGTCTTGCCTCTCTCAACTTTCTCTTCACAATATCCCACAGGTTCTCTATGGGGTTCAGGTCAGGAGAGTTGGCAGGCCAATTGAGCACAGTAATACCATGGTCAGTAAACCATTTACCAGTGGTTTTGGCACTGTGAGCAGGTGCCAGGTCGTGCTGAAAAATGAAATCTTCATCTCCATAAAGCTTTTCAGCAGATGGAAGCATGAAGTGCTCCAAAATCTCCTGATAGATAGCTGCATTGACCCTGCCCTTGATAAAACACAGTGGACCAACACCAGCAGCTGACATGACACCCCAGTGACTGTGGAAACTTGACACTGGACCTCAAGCAATGTGAATTCTGTCTCCTCTCTTCCTCCAGACTCTGAGACCTTGATTTCCAAAGGAAATGCAACATTTACTGTAATCAGAGAACATAACTTTGGACCAGTCAGCAGCAGTCCCAGGCGAGATGCTTCTGACGCAGTCTCTTGTTCAAGAGTGGCTTGACCTGGGGAATGCGGCACCTGTAGCCCATTTCCTGCACACGCCTGTGCACGGTGGCTCTGGATGTTTCTACTCCAGACTCAGTCCACTGCTTCCGCAGGTCCCTCAAGGTCTGGAATCGGCCCTTCTCCACAATCCTCCTCAGGGTCCGGTCACCTCTTCTCGTTGTGCAGCGTTTTCTGCCACACTTTTCCCTTCCCACAGACTTCCCACTGAGGTGCCTTGATACAGCACTCTGGGAACAGCCTATTCGTTCAGCAATTTCTTTCTGTGTCTTACCCTCTTGCTTCAGGGTGTCAATGATGGCCTTCTGGACAGCAGTCAGGTTGGCAGTCTTACCCATGATTGCAGTTTTTAGTAATGAACAAGGCTGGGAGTTTTTAAAATCTTTTGCAGGTGTTTAGTTACGTCGTTGATTCAGATGGTTAGGTTAATAGCTTGTTTAGAGAACCTTTTCATGATATGCTAATTTTTTGGGACAGGCATTTTGGGTTTTCATGAGCTGTATGCCATAATCATCAGTATTAAAACAATTAAAGACCTGAAATATTTCAGTTGGTGTGCAATGAATCTGAAATATATGAAAGTTTCATTTTTATCATTACATTATGAAAAATAATGACCTTTATCACAATGTGCTAATTTTTTGAGAAGGACCTGTATACCTTTGAAAGTTTTTATTTAACACAAAACAAAACCAATGTGTCATTTTAACTGCAGTTTGTCATCAACTCTAGTTAAAATACGATCTAGTCAACCTTGTAATGGATCAATTTTAACTTCCTGACATTTTCAAAACTTGGACCAGAGTGTCGAGTCATTCGGAGACATCTCTTTGTCTTCTGTCCTAACATCATGAACTGACACATTTTAATATTGCTGCAAGAATTTCCTGTTCAAGTTCAGAAGAAGTGGGTTTTCAAAGTTTTTGAGTCCAGTCTGGCGCTTTTGGGAGAGAGAATCTGTCCTGTTGTACTGAACAGTCTTTCAGTAATCTTTTAGCTCTTCTTCAAGGCAGATCTACGTTACCTGACCATTTTGCAGTGACTCAATGGACCAACTCCCCTCTCGCCATTACTTTCAAATTAACAAACAAATCAAAAAGCTACAGCATGAATGTAACTTGTAACTCAACGCATTATAGAAATGTAGTGTAGTAGAAAGTACAGATACTTCATGTAAAATGTAGTCCAGTAAAAGTCTAAAGTACCCATGTTTAACTCTACTTAAGTAAAGTACAGATACATGAAAAATGTACTTAAGTACAGTAATGAAGTACTTGTACTCAGTTACATCCCACCACTGGGAATAAGTATTTTGATTTTTCTTTGTTTACCTGTGTCTTGTTCTTATTTTCAAGGTCACCGTGGTAGTTGACAGAGATGTACTGTTTCCGCCTTCATCGCTTGTTAAACTTGGGGTAACGTAAAACTGAAAACTGTTCTCATGGTTACTGGAAAGGTAACCTGAAGGAAACAGCAAGCATTTTGCTCCTGAGGCAAAACACTGCCGCAGTGAATGAATTTATAAAGGAGGGGAGATCATTAATTGTGATCAAAAAAATTCCAGCGCGTCATCCCGCACGTGCACCTGAGCGGCTCACCTGCCACCGAGCGGAGCAGACGCTGCTCCCCACCGCGCATGCGCGGTTCGTTGAAGAGCTCCACTGTCATGGCGGTGGCGAACTAAAAGCTACCGGAGCAGACCAGGAAGCGAATGCAGCGCAGCTGGCTCAACCGTGCCATTTAACCGCGTCTCCGAGTGTGTCGGGGAGCACAGAGGGCACCTCCGTCCTTTTTCGGCTTCCACCGGAGTTGCTGGCGGACATATCCCTTCCTGTTGGAGAGTTTTCGGGGGGTTCTGCCGAGCGCACTACCTGTCAAGTCTATGGAGTCCGTGGCACACAGGAGCAACTTCCACCGCTGAGCGGAGTTAAAGTGACTACCCGGTGAATAAAACCAGAGGAGAGGAGGGGGAAACTGCTTCACCTGCTCCTTGTTTGCTGCGACGAGCCTCTCCTCGGGCTTTTAACGACATTTATCCGTCTGGTTTCAAGTTACGGAGCAAGAGTTCACGGTGACATTTCCAGCCAACCGCCAAATTCTTCCTCTGCTCCTTTCGACCCCGTCGCTTACAGCCTTGGATGGGGAGGAGGACGCCCTGTAGACTGCCCACATCTCAACCCAAGAGGAGATAGAGCCCTCTTCGCTCCCCCCCTCCCTGCCCTCCTCACCATATTGGGAGGTGAACAGGTGCCTTACCTGTGCGCGCGACCTGTCCCGCTCTTCCTTAGCAAATGGCTAACGCGGATCCGGCTGAGAGGAAGGACGGCCAGGCTGCGGGGCTCAACCCCGGGGTGCCCGTCAGGGGCATCCGGATGAAGTTCGCCGTGCTGGCCGGCCTGGTGGAAGTTGGAGAAGTTTCCAACCGAGACATCGTGGAGACGGTGTTCAACCTGGTAAGCTGATTATCTGTGCAGCTCAGGACACAGGCCGTGTCCCGGCGTTGTGACTTCTAAACATCCAGGAAACCTTCACACACACAGAGTAAAAACAAAGATTTAGTTTGCTTGTTTAACAGCTAGTTCGTGTTTTTGTGCTTTGATGACCTCACCTGTTACTGTTTGAGTTCAGCTTCTTTATTTGGCTGAATGATGCTGGTTCAGCTTTGTTTACCTGTTTTTTTTAATGCTGTACATTTTGCTTTATAATCTAATTCACATACTCTGTTTTTTCGTCTTGCATGATGCGTATCAAAACCTGCAGCTCATTGGGTGCCATGATTTTTGGCTTCTGAAACTTTTATACAAATATTTCATCCATTATTATTATTATTATTATTTTTTTACCTGCTTCTTCGTTTTCGGGTCATGGAGGTCACTGGTGCCCATAACCAGCAGTCACTGTGGGAGAGGCGGGGGACACCCTGGACAGGCTCTCCAGTTCATCACAGGGACACACAGAGACGAACAATCCTCTCACATCTAGGGACAATTTAGAGCATATGTGTCAAACTCGAGGCCCGCTTTGACATTTTATCTGAACCCCCAAGATGTTGTTGTAAATGTAAAATTCTTTTATCACTTTAATTTTTTCAGTAATCTTTGATTATGATGTCAAAAGTGCAACAGAGAACGTCCAATGAGACCAATCAAACTCTTGTTGACAAACGTGCAACCAAGAAAAGATGTTGGGTCTCTGACTTGAGTTGATGTAGATTCTGAAACCGGCCCTTAGTTTGAAAAAGGTTTTTAGTTTTGGCCCCCTTTTGTAAGCGAGTTTGACACCCCTGATTTAGAGTTACCAATCAGACTAACATGCATGTTTTTGGTCTGTGGGAGGAAACTGGAGTACCTGGAGAAAACCCACGCATGCACAGAGAGAACATGCAAACTCCACCCAGAAAGGCCCCCAGTCAGGATTTGATCCAGGGCGACCTGCTCACTGAGAGACGGCAGTTCTTAAAACTAGGGATGCACGATATTATCGGCATGGTATCGGCCGATATTGATGATAAAGTAAAATATCGGACATCGGCCATTCTGTCAAAATAACTCGCCGATATAAAAGGCTTCTGTTTTTGTATGACGGCCCGGTGACAAGGATGCCTGCAGCGCCAGCACAACGTTATGACGTCACGCGCTCCGTTGAGTTTAGATTTGTGCAAATTTTCAAGTTTGTACTGTTCAAGTGTTGTCATTGTGTTAGTGAGAGTAAATGTCATGAATAAATCTGACATTAAACATAATTCAAGTTGAAGTGTTGCATCATTTTCAGTCCCCTTTTTGGCATCGGCATTTGGTAGCAGGTCAAACTGACAAAGACCATGCAGAATAATGTAGTATTTTAATTCTACAGCAGTAGTCTCTGTAAGTAGTTGTAGGAAAAAAATATTGGTATCGGTTATTGGCTAAATAAGTTTTAACATATGTGATATCAGCCAAAAATCCAATATCGTGCATCCCTACTAAAACCTGCGCCACCGTGCTGCTCCAGTTGCAAATATTTTCCTCATAGAAATATACAGTGAGCTGTGTACAATACTTTAAAATATTCTCTTTGTAATCTGATGCTTTACCCATATTATTATGCCTGTTTGTGCTTTCAGCTTGCCTAAGATTTTAGCTATCTTTTGATACTTGTTGCTAATATGTTGCTGCATCTAGCTAGTATTTTTCCATTTCTGACATTTAGTGTTTGCGTCCTTAAGCTTTTAGCTCATGTTCTGCTCGTCAGTTTTCTCTTCTTTGGTTAATTTCAGCAGTCATTCATTACTCAAGTTTCACACTGCATATCTGAAAAAAATACTGTTTTCTAGTTTCTCATGCTTTTGTGTTGTAGGAGTCACGTTCACACTACTTGTTATAATCCATAGAAAACTATTGTTTTCCAGTTTTTAATCGACTCTGACAGCAGAGAAGCTGCTGCAGCGTTATTTGTGACGTATCCAGGTCAGGTGTCTCATTTGTTACCTATACTGGTAACGCCAACACATTAGTGCTAATGAGTTATGAAAAGCCATTAAATCACACGAATGTGAATGAATGAAACTTGAAGGAAACGTAGCATTAAAGGACAGCATGCTCGACCAGAGTTTCCACTGAGGTGGGAGGAGACGAGGTGAAGGTGAAACCAGCTGAACTGCTTTGTCACTGTGTGGTAAACACTAGTCCTTCCAGAGGGAGGCTCGCGTCTGTAGTCATTAGTGAGCTGTAACCCCCACTGAGTAGGCAAATGAATTACAGACACCTTTTCTTCTGGTTATGACCTGATGTTAAAGTTTAGTGTCGTTTCATCGCCCAAACCCATAAAATACATTATTTATTTGGTATCAGTCTTTTTTCTCGTTATCTGCATTACACTATGTTTAGGTATTAATATAAAGATGATCAGAAATTTGACGTGTTTTAAATCCAGCAAGTATTTGTTTTAAAGTCAATAATTTGATTATCAAAGCAATTGCTGATTTATTATCATTTACAAATATATATTAGTGTTCTGATTTCGCAGTGAAACGGATTAAATATCACCAAGACAAAGGTAAATGGTCTACATTTGATTTTTAATTTTTTTTTATATATTTTTTTAGCAATGATGAAGTTGTCTCATGCTTATTCTCGTGTTTTTAATTTGCAAAGCAATTTTGTCCTTCATCGCTTGCTGTCCTTAATTTGAAACGCGTGGACTTGAAATTGGAGTTCAGACTTGTGAAGGAGACATTTCACTGAAGTAGTTTTGGGTTGCACGGTATATTAACAAAAGAGAATTGAGATGTCTTCTGCTTTCTTTTAGGTGTAATAGTAATTGTTGCAAACCTAGAATTTGTAGATATTCTACAGGCATCCAGAGCAGTTTCATATATTTAATTGCATCTTCTGGTATATTTGACTTCTTAATTTTTAGCTTTGTTGCAGTTATTTCAGGTCGCAAGGTGACGCTGCGCATTTTATTATGATTACCTCAACACTTTGTCTCCACTTGCTCTGCTCAACACCTCCTTTAGTTGATAACCTCATCCAGAGTTCTCACTTTAGTGACATTATTATTTATTTCTGTGTCCTATGCCCTGTATGTGTGGATAAACAGAACACTGTTTCTGGAGGAGGGTTGTCTCTGTGTCACAAGTCATCACAGCGGTGGTTGTGATGACTTGTGACATGTGGGCTGAGGTTATAAACACCAGGATTCACATGAGGTAATCCACTGGCTGTGTTTTTTGCCTGGAGTCAGGACTTTGATGAAGAGCAATAGGAGAGAGTCTCACACCACTATTTGACTTGTGCACTTTTCTGTTCCAGATGGTGCATCTGGTCCAAAGAGGCAAAATACAAGGTTCTAATGGAAATGGTCATAAAGTAAAAGTGCTGGTATATTGAATAAACTAGAGATGTACTTTCTCATTATTACTGTAGTGTGTTTTAATTTTTTTATTTTTGAGTTTTTGACAGTCAGATTTGTCAGTAAACTTGTGTGGGGGAGTATTGTAAACACAACAGTTTTGATGCCATTTAGACATTTTTCATGGCTCACTGGATTGTACTGGTACTCATTTTTGGCCAGGGTTGCCAGATAGGAACTAACAAAATATTGTGCTGTCTTTTTTTTTTTTTAATTGTTTACAATTTAGACCAAAACTATGTGCTGAGTGAGAGTGCCCTTCCTTGCTCTGATGGGTGCTAGTGCGTATGTGGGGTGGGAGCAGATGACGTGTTGTGATTAGCTGACAGGCGCATGGGAAAAGAGAGGAGCAAGCACATGCGCTGGCTGCTTGGATCAGACTTTCTAATGAATAAAACCATAAACAATAGTTGTGTGAATAAATGTCAAAACTATCATATATTTGGGCTTTTAAATCTACAATAGAGCGTTCAGAACCTTTATCAGATAAATGCAATGATTATCGTATATCTGGAAACACTGGTCTTGGTTATAGCCCGACTGATATTTAAATTTTGGCCATTACCAATACTGATATTGGGAGGGGAAGGTGAATGCTGAGAACTGATAGAATTAGGGATGCACCAATCCACTTTTTTTTTACATCTGATCCCGATACCTAAATCTGGATATGGAGCTCGAATGTCCAACATAAAACTAACTTTACCGTGGTTTAATGTGGTGCTATTTTTTTATTAAGTTCGTTGTGCGACGGAGCTTTCTCCTCGGTACAGCGGCTCTGCAGACATTGCATGTTGCTGTCTTGCTTCGTGGTGTTTCTAGTGTAAAATACTTCCACACAGCGAACATGTTTTGATGAAAAGTGGGTTAGCTATTAGCCACAGTGCTGCTCAGTCCTCACGTTTTAGCTGGCTGCAAACTATGAAATGGATTTCCTGAATGTGAGGTGGGTCTTATTATTCTGGGTTTCATGAAACGCGCCTCCATTCAGGAAATCCATTCCACAGTTTGAAGCCAACTTGCAGAGCATCAGGCAGGGAATCGCATGAGATGTTTCAACAAACAGACATGCATCATGGATCGGAAATATCTGAAGGTTGGATCGGAAAAATCCGATGCGCAAATTATGCTTTTATCGGAGCTCGATACTGGATCGGATCGGCCCCATCCCTAGATATAGTGGTTGAAAGTTTTTGATCTTTGTCCATCCCCAAGAATCTAAAAAAACAGTGAGTGGAATGGGCTTGTTTATTTAGCCCGACTGTTGGCAACCATGAAGCTAAGCAAATCAGATCCACGCTATACGTAGTCCCACAGTACATTTCCAAGTGATGTACTGGTCATAAAAACAGTCTTCCTAACGTGCGTTCACATTTTCTTTCTTCTACTATTCACCATAAAGTTATCAAGCGTGTTACATAAATGTGAATTAAACTAAGAAACACCCCTCCTTGTTAATTGTTGAAACAGTCAGTCATATGGTGAAGGTCTAGTTACCGGTAGTATTGACCACAGCAGAGTTTTGTTTTTCTCCGTAGAGAAGTAAAGATTTCAAATAATG